TTTATCCATTCATCTGTCGATGGACATCTTGGCTCTTTTCACAGTTTCGCTATTGTGGACATTGCTGCTATAAACATTGGGGTGCACGTACTCTTTCGGATCCCTACATTTGTATCTTTGGGGTAAATACCCAGTAGTGCAATTGCTGGATCATATGGTAGCTCTATTTTCAACTTTTTGAAGAATCTCCATACTGTTTTCCTGGGAGGACTTTCCTGATCCCCTTGGTTTTCCACTGTACATGGTACTACTATTCTTTTTTTTTTTTTAAGATTTATTTACTTACTTGACAGAGCGTGTGCACATAAGCAGGGGGAGCGTCAGGCAGAAGGAGAGGGAGAAGCAGGCTCTCCACTGAGCAGAGAGCCCGATGCAGGGCTCGCGGGGCTCGATCCCAGGGCCCTGGGATCATGACCTGAGCTGAAGGCAGATGCTTAACCAACTGAGCCACCGAGGCGCCCTGGTACTTCCTCCATCATAGCCTTTACCACACATTGCTATAATTTCATGCTGAATTCTTGATATTCCCAGAAGATCATAAACTCCATGAGGGTACAGACCCTAGCACCTACAACAGTGACTACAACACAGTAAGCATTTGATAAGTGATTGTTGAATAAATACTTTGTATTTTGTAGTTGTGGAAACCTAGCCTTAGATAGAAGGGTATTAAATAACTTGACCAGAGCCACTCGGTTAGTCAGTTTCAGAGCTTTCCTTGTCTTTTATACTGGCGGAGTTTCCGTTCTTTCCCCTGTACCACTCACATGAGCAGAAGCAGCTCCAATCCCCAAGCATGCTTCAGAATCTGAGTCTCTACTTCCTAGGCCTTTCCAGCTTTTGACACTTCTGTCTTTCTGATTTCTTCCAGTGTGGTGCAGATCCTGCTTGCTGCTGGTGCTGACCCAAACCTTGGGGATGATTTCAGCAGTGTTTATAAGACTGCCAAGGAGCAGGGAATCCATTCTTTGGAAGGTAAGCACAGACCACCCTGTTGTTGTGAGCGCTCTCCTACCTTTGGCTTCTAGGCAGCCTTGCTCTGTGTCAGCTCTACCAGCAACTCAGAGTGAGAGCCTGCAAGTCCCTCATCCTCTGGGAATGCATGGATAACCCAGAAGGCTTGGAACAGACACCCTTCACAGTCCCTTCTGGCTCTATCATTTATGTCCCTTCAGAAGTCTTTGGGAATAAGATAGAGACCTGACTTCATGACCAGAGCAGGGAGTGGGGGATACCTTTCACCTGGTGTTCTCCTGACAGCACCTCAGCCCACAGAGCCTCAGGTGAGTGGATAATGGAGCAGGTTTCATAAAATAATTAAGGCGACTGCATGGAATGTGGCTTTGTTCCTCTTCTACTTCCTGCAGACTTAACCTATCCCATCCCTGTCCCAGAACTAGAAAGCAGCCTCACTGGGTTCCTCTGCCTCAGAAGTCCCTCAGTACTACTCTGAATACTGCTTTTTTCCCCCTTCTATATGCAAAATGCAATCCTATCTCTGGGACTGGCCCTCAATTTACCATTATGCCCCAGGACAAATAGTGCCTTGATAAAATGGGGTGGTCATCCGTGCCTCCTGAGGATGTTAATGTGGGTTGTTTGGACTTCAGAAGAAAGAGGTGGTGTGCACCTGTATCCAGGTTCAGTCACATGTCTGTCAGAGGGTACTCAGGCAAGTCAGTCTTTGCTACTTCTAGTGAGTGGTTCTTCAAATTGAGGTATAGAAGAGGATAGGTTGCTTTGGCTACAAGCAGCAATGAATATTTCTTTTACTTTTGAGCTTTTGCTTGTTCATACTGGCCCCCCTGCCTGTCCGTTATCCTGTGTCTCCCAGAGGCTGTGATAACCAGCCCTGTGTCTGGCAATAGGGCAGCTGAGCAGTACTGCTCTTGGGTTGGCAGTGATGCCAGGAGGACGGACAGCCATGCCGACTGCCTGAGGGTCAGAACATTGACTGAAAGGAGGTCCAGTGAGGCGAGCAGTGCACTTGGTCCTCAGAGCTGTCAGGGAGGCTGCCGGACCGACATAGCTGTGGTAGCCCACAGCAGAGGTGTGCTTGCTGCCCCGGCGAGGTTTCTCAGGTCAGCAGCCTAAGAGCAATGTCAAGAGCAGCAGAGCATTGCTGCCCAGGGGAAGTGTGGAGTTGCCTTCCCCCTGCCTGTCTACCTCTCTAAACCTGCTCCTTCTGTCAAACTCCACTTCTGTGGCTGGATCCTCCACGAAGCCTTCCCTGTCCTTGGCAATAATTGCAACCTGCCCCTGCTGCTCTTTTGAATATTCTCTAAATCTTGGCCTTTTATATGGTTATTTGAACTCTCATCTGCCCATATGTCTTTCCTCTCCTGCTCAGCTGACAGTTCTGTGTGCAGGCCATGACCTATGCCTCCTTGGATTCCCCACTGAGTTGGAGGAATTATGTTCACTTTACGTTTCAGAGGAGAATTTCATGAGTACCAAACTTGCCCTATATTTGCAGCCTGTTATGTGGAGACTCATCGTGTGGGTTGTCTTCTCACTCAGACACAGCATTACTGTCCTCAGCTCAGTCTTCTGTCCAGGCCCTCTCACCAAAAAGCAAAGAGGAGCGTTTGCTGAGGGGGCAGAGCCAGGTGGAAGGGAAGGGATTATTTGAGTGCTTTATCGCCTGCCCTCAGGATCCCAGCAGGGCTCAGTCATTATTTTTGATTTCACAGAATCCCAGAGCTGTGAAGCCGTGTAGGCCAACCTTTGCTGTCACACCAGTCCCTTCCCTCTGCATTTAAGTTTTATATCTTTGTTCTCTCCAGACTGATGCTCATATTCAACATTCTAGATCAGTAGTCAGGAAAAGAACAAGAGTGCTAGCCCTTTGCCAAGAGTATGTCTAGGCAAATTCAAAGAAAAGTCACAGGCTTAATTGGACGGTCCTTCACTATTGGAGCAGAGTCCGTGCCAGGTCCATCAAATTTACTGAATTTCTAATAGATATTTCTGTGGGCCTTATACTGTGCTCAGTACTGAAAGGAGGTGGTGAGTTGTCGTTTGTGACCTTGGCAGGACCTCCCTAAACCTCAGTAATATATCCCTTTTCTACCTTATCGGTATTGTGAACATCAAGAGATAAGTATATGATGTGTGAATTGTAAAGTGCTCTACAGTTGTAATTGCTCATTAGTTTTATTTTTTTATAATTCAACATGCATTTACTGAGTGTCAGGCACTCTGCCAGATGCTGGGAATGTAGAAATGAATATACATGGTATAGGCCCTCAACAGTGTTCCCAGTCAAGTGAGAAGATAGACCTACGAACAAGGTACCACAGTACAGAGTGATAATGCAAAGGTATATGTACAAAGAATGGAGATAGCACTGACATAGGCAGTGATAAGCTCTACCTGAGGGCAGGCTGCTGTCTGGGAAGTGTCATAGTGTAAGTGACTTTGAATTGGGTCTTAAGGATGAGTGGGAGATGGCCAGGCAGACTAAGAGGGATGGATCTTCTGGGTAGAAGGAACAACACATGCAGAGACATGGGGTGGGTGGGTGACAGCAAGTGGACTCATCTGCCACAGTGCTGAGGAGAATAACAAGAAGTGAGACTAGAGAGGGAAGCAGGGTTCCGCATGATAAGGACATTGTAGGACAGTTTTGGGTGCTCACACTGTTTTTGAAGGTCATTGAAGGATTTTAAGCAAGGGGTGTCAGTTTACATTTGCATCTTAGATGGAGTGAGGGATAAAATTGAAGGGGAGAGATTAGCAGTGGCTCTTGACCTTTAGGGGATGATGGTCCCCTTTGAGAATTGAATGGGAAGCTATGCTCCTCTCCCCCAAAATGCACTTATAATTTCTGGGGATTCCTAAAAGTGATCTTTGGAAATGGAGAAAGTAGATGTTAAAAATACTAAGAGGTTGAGTTCTTAGCAGAATGTGGGAATTGATGGAAAAGGAGGCATTTCATGGTGACATCCCCGATTTCTGATTTGGTTTAACAGTTGGATGTGTGGGTCTGGAGTTCAAAAGAGAAGTCTGGCAGGAGATAGGGATTTAGGAGTCACCAGCTGGGGCACCTGGGTGGCTCAGTTGGTTAAGCGTCTGCCTTCGGCTCAGGTCATGATCCCAGGGTCCTGGGATGGAGCCCCACATCGGGCTCCCTGCTCAGTGGGAAGCCTGCTTCTCCCTCTCCCACTCGCCCTGCTTGTGTTCTCTCTCTCGCTGTGTCTCTCTCTGTCAAATACATAAATAAAATCTTAAAAAAAAAAAAAAAAGGAGTCACCAGCATTAGCTTGGTAGTGACTACAGTGGATGTGACTAAAATTGTCCAAGGAAAAGAGTGAAGGTAAGAGGTGAGGGGACAAGCTCCTCACTCAGGAGGGTACAGCATCTAAGGTGTGAGGAAGAGAGAGGATCCAGGGGCGCCTGGGTGGCTGAGTCATTAAGCGTCTGCCCTCGGCTCAGGTCATGATCCCAGGGTCCCGGGATCGAGCCCCACATCGGGCTCCCTGCTCAGCGGGAAGCCTGCTTCTCCCTCTCCCACTTCCCCTGCTTGTGTTCCCTCTCTCGCTGTGTCTCTCTCTGTTAAAAAAAGAGGATCCAAACAAAGGTACCAAAGGTATCGGAGAAGTTGCCTTGTTTTCTCTCAAAGAGGCTCTATCTGTTCTGCCTGCTCAGAACAGGCATGGTCTAGAAAGGAAAGAAACTTCTGTGACCTCCTTTCTGATACTTTATCATCGGTTGCCCCATTCCTAGCAAAACCCTTCTGATTTACATATGGCCATTGCTCCTTAGCAAGAAGCCTGCTCAGCTGAGCACATTACAGTATTCCCCACCCTTGTCAGGGTTGGTGTTTCTGGGCAGAGGGCAAGTGACACAGGAATGCCTGGCATAGAAACTATGTTGGCCTGACTGTTCTGTCCATCCTTCTCAGCCCCCAAGAGTGGCATCTTGAGAGGTATAATGGTGTCCTGGAGAAAGGTCAGATGTCAGTGCTAGCAGTTATCTAAGCTCTGTTTGTCTAAGTTTTGTAACTTACTAGCTGTGTGATTTTGAGCAAGTGATTTAAGGTTCTAGAATTTCCGTTTTCTCCTCTGTAACATAGGGATAACAATACCCATCATACAGGGTTGTTAGGATGACTAGAGATAAGTAAAACATCATGTGAAGGATGATATTTGAGGAAGAACATCTCTATTGAGGTGGATTTTGAGTCCGTGTAAAGTTGCCTTGGAGGTACGGAGCAACTCTTCACTCAAGGAGCATTGACAGAGGCTGGATGTCTGCCTGTCAGGGATTCTCTACAGGGGATTCTTGTCCTGGGTCGTTGGATAATATGACTTCCAAGGCCCCTGTCAGCCATGTGATTTCTAAGGTCTAGAAGCCCTAGGCTCACCATCAGAGCAAGTGATGTACTTATAAGTGGGATTTGAGCTGAGTTTTGGAGGGCAGAAAGAAAGTGAGAAAAGAAAAGCTATTCTAAGCAGGGGCAAAGCTTGAGCAAAGGCACATAGAAGGGACACATGTGGAGAGGGGAACGTGGAGATCACTGCTGCTTCTCTACCAAGTCACTCCCTGATCTTGATCACATTCCATTCAGTGACTGGATCCCCATCCATGCCCACCCCAGGAGAGTTCCACTTGTGGCTGGCGGATGGGTGGTGGGTCCCAGTCCTCAGGTGGAGGAGACAATAAATTAATGGTAACAGTAAACAAGTTGCCCAGCCAGGGATGCTGCAGGCTGCTTGTAAGTAACTGTTATAAACATTGGGTGTCTGGGGCTGTCAGAAACGCAAGCGAGCTCTCTGAGTGCCTCTCATATGTACAATTAAAACAATAAAACACGACAGAAACATGGTGAAAACAGGGTATAAATCAGCTTCTCTTCTCAGCTCCAAGTGGTGGCTGAATAAAGATGAGTCGTGTAGAAGCTGGGTTGGCATAGGACCCTTCTGGGGCTAGAGGGCCTGACTTTCCAGGCTGTACCCCCCAAGGCCAACCCC